GGATGGGAGACCGCGCTGCGCGCTGCGACGGGCGGGGCCCTAAGCCGCACGCGCCGGCGGTCTGCTGTTCCTTCCTCGAGCCCTGCGCAGCCAGGGGGCGCTGCTCTGCATCTGCGCACGTGCTCCTGTATCTACGACCCAGCCAGGCCGCCGGGATCCGCCTTGCAGTCGCGGGTCAGATACACGCCTGGCTGTGTCTGCATTGGCGTGATTTTGTGCAAGAACACTGACTTCTAGGCTGTGTCTAGACTGGCCAGTTTTTCCAGAAAATCAGCACTTTTTGCAGAAAAGCGTCCTTGCCTATCTAGATGCGCTTTTGCGCAAAAAAGCCCCGACCGCCATTTTCGCAATTGGGGCTTTTTTACGGAAAACAAATCTGAGCTGTCTACACTGGCCCTTTTGCGCAAAATATTTTTTTTTGCGATGGCTCTGCAAAAAGCACTGATTTCTTACAGTAGGAAGTCAGTGCTTTTGCGGAAATTCAGGCGGCCAGTGTAGACAGCTGGCAAGTTTTTCCGGAAAGGCAGCTGATTTTCCAGAAAAACTGGCCAGTCTAGACACAGCCATTTTGTATCCAGAGCCCTACAAGTCAGTAGATAGCCACGGGTCTCTGCATCCACGGATGTTAATGTGGACATCCATCTGTGGCTCATTTTTGCGGATACAGATGTGGACAAGGCTCTCTCTATTTGCCCTACACAGTGGTTTTCAGCCAGAGGTACATGCACTGCTGGGGGTTATACGGAGGTCTTAGATTTACAGCAGGCTGGGTAAATGTCCTTTATGTCAATACAAATTAAAATGGTTTAGCAGCACCTTAGAGACTAACAAAACATGTAGAGGGTATCATGAGCTTTCATGGGTACAACCCACTTCTTTGGATGAATGGAGTATTAAAAGTCCCGATCCAAAAATAAAAAGCGGGGGAGGAAGGGAAAGAATAGTGATTGTTCAAAAAGTTACAAGAAAGGTGCAAATTGTTCTCAAGTACCCATTGTTTAGTTGATTAAGTGATTAGGACATAGGTAGTGGTGTACTAGCCAGATAACATCTTTATTCATACCTTTGTGATGGCTCCCAAACTTGTAAAGGAAGTTAAGTTCCAAGGTTTATACCATCTACATGTTTTGTTAGTCTTTAAGGTGCTGCCAGACTATTCCTTGTTTTTTCAGTTACAGACTAACTAGCTCCCCCTCTGAAGCTTTTGAACAAATTAAAATTATCTCGCTGACTTGTTTCTACAGCTCTAGAATCCATACATTGGAATGTAAGCACAATAGTTATAAGCCAAGTATGTGGTGAAAATGAGAAAGTGGGTGATTGTTCAGTAATTGTTTGCTGGGAGGTTTTTATTGTTTTTGTCTGATTTTGTGAGCAAGTAGTTTAAGTGAGGTGAAACTTGGGGGTACCATATGGAAAACAAATCAGCTTCCTGAAAGGGGTACAGTAGTTGGGAAAGATGGAGAGCTACTGCCCTAATTACTTCCGTACAGATGAGCTTCGCTGGGTCCTCTCTCTGGATTTCAGGTCCACCAGCACTCAGATTAAAGATGCTCTGGTTTTAATAGGGCTTCTCTAAGTGCTGCACCTTTAATTTGTCATACCAAAATCTCTCTCTGCATTACAGCACCTATGGCTCTGCCTGTGTAAAACACCAAACCCTCCCCCAGGACCTTTCAATCTAAGGCAACACAAGTAACGCACTGGCTCTTCATGTAGGTGAATTATTTTTCCTTTGAAGAGAACATATTGCATGTGTCTTCTCAAAGGAAAGTGACAAACTTTCAGGCTCTGGAGCCTATTCTAGTCACTGTTCAGAGACTGCACCACCTGCTATTAAACTCCATACCTAGTTCCCAAAGGTCAAACACTTCATTTGATGGCAGTACAACAAAACTGAAGTCAGTCCCCTGAACAACTTCAAGAGGAAGTGTCCATTTCTTAACTGGGTCACAACCAAACTTTACCTCCACTCAAAAGGCACGGTACAGTCCTGAGCCATGGCCCATACCAGTTCTAAGTCCATTCACTTGTTTTATTTCCTCTTCTTCTGACTATTACATTTAGTGAGATAGGATCTGGTATTCAGAGGTGCTCAGCACCATTAACTCCCACTGGAAGTAATCTGTTCAGATTACTCTCAAAACAATGTGACCCCAAATTAAATACAACCCTTAGCTAAAGCCAGCAGTTTCCAACCATCTGTGAAAGGGGAATATGTACTTATTCTGATGATTTGGTTAATGACTGTCAGGGCTGGCAACAGATTTTGCTGGGCCCAGGGCAATGTGTGTGTGTGGGAGGGGTGGAGGGGGGATGAGGCAGTTGGCTCTGGGGCCTCAGAAGGGGCGGGGCTACAGGCAGCCAACCCTCAGCACCACTCCTCTGTATCCACCAGACCACATCACATAAGGCTTCACCAGCAATTTAAGGACTTGGGACTCAAGCCATGACTGCTGTCACCCTAGCTGGGGCAGCAGCCCACAGCCATGGGCCTTTTTAAGTTGCCAGGCCGTGCTCTGAAGCTACATGTGGATGATAAGCATTATCGACTAGAACCACATTCTCAACAAATTATCTTTCCCCTTTATTCCAGAGTGAAAAATCTAAATGGTACTATCTTTTGTTCAAGATCAAACCATCATATGAAAAGAGCCCTCCAGCACCTCCTTGCTGGATACTGACATGAGAGACACTGGAATGCAACAGAGTTTATATTCTGAAGCTACATGTGGATGATAAGCATTATCGACTAGAACCACATTCTCAACAAATTATCTTTCCCCTTTATTCCAGAGTGAAAAATCTAAATGGTACTATCTTTTGTTCAAGATCAAACCATCATATGAAAAGAGCCCTCCAGCACCTCCTTGCTGGATACTGACATGAGAGACACTGGAATGCAACAGAGTTTATATCAAAGACCAAAAAAAGGTGCAGGGGAGCTCACAGATGCTAGAAGTCTCTAAATAATGTTGATATAATGATTCAGAATAAAAGATGTGCTGCCTACCCCACAATCCCCAAGTCTCCCATTTCCTATTAGTTGCTTGATGATCATGTATCCATACTACACATTAAGAAAATGAGATCATATACACTATCTTTTAAGTGCTTATTACCGTATCCAGCTGGCTTGACTGTATAATTTTCTTTAGGCCTAGACCTATCACATTAAAAGCTGTGGGGACAGAGGGAAATGGCCACAGTAGTAAGACATTTTGACTCTAAACTTTTATTAGAGCTTTCCAAACAAGTATTTGAATAAATAGTTTTAAAAAAACATTGTACTGGGGTAAATTAGCTCCCATCTTGGGGAAAGGAGAAGAGAAGTGGCTTGAATGTTAATTATGAGTCACAATGATGAGTGTCAACCTTCGTTAGTTACTGGAGTTGCTCCTTGCTTTCATTGTCTGGGCCCAGCCCCAGCCTGGGAAGCATGAACAATCCCTTACCAAGCACTAGTCAACACAGTTTTACCAGATCTAAAGGGTTGTGTGTAAGCTTAAAAGCTTGTCTCTTTCACCAATGGCAGTTGGTTCAATACAAGATACAATGTCCCTATCTTGTCTCTGACCGGTTAAACCAGTAGAGGTAAAATCATCTTGAAACCAGTAGAGGTAAAATGGGACTGTTTCTAGTGTGGATTCTTGTACATCAGCACTCTGATATAAGCACATGTATAGCTTATTCCCCTAAGTATACTGGTATAATTGTGTCCACACTAGGGACTATACTGATTTCTACTTAAATATTCCTCTAACCAAAACAGTTAAATCAGCACAAATCCTGTGTGTAGGTCAGGACACCAACTTCCTTCAGGTACACATACACCCTGGTAATTTCCCACTAGCCACTCCATGACTCATCTCTGCCTCTTCCTGTAGCGGAAACAGTCATCGATCAAATACGAGTAACATAAGCCGACTGTAAGCAATAAAATCTTTTCTCTTTCTGTGCTGCTGGTTTCCCTAATCCTGGCCAACAGGATCCAGAGGGTTTCCCAGCTAGCATAACAATGAGAGCATGACCTACTACACATACCTCCTACTGTGATAGGGAGCTTTATTACAACATTTGGCCATTTGACCTTCACTAAAACTCACAGTGATAATAAAGTCTGAAGAATAAACATGGGAGTAGAAGGGGAGAATTACATTTCTGCAGCTTTAAAAAAAGTACAAAAGTAATTTACACATGAGAAAAATCCATTAAAATTTGTTAAAGAAAATAGCTCAGCAATTTGTTGTATGTTCAGTATAAGCCTGAGATGTCGACTTCTAGAGAATTTTGTTAACTAAGCTTCCTCATCTGGAGCTTAATTCAAAGCACTATTCCAACTTTCCTTGTCTGTTTCAGAGACTAAAGCAAAGCTAAAGAAATAATCTTCCTGCTGTTTTGAATTGGTCCAAACAGTAGATAGATTTAGGTAACCCTATAAAGCACCCTGTGACTTTAATGTGAAAGATGCTACATAAATGCATGATGCTCTTTTAATCAACGCAAATATGCATTTACAAAGGTTAATTCTGTCATTTTTATAAAAGTTCTTGCCCTTACATGATTTTAGCTTCTGCAGGCAGACACAGCTGCATGACAGGCAAGGACACCATTTCTAAGATATTATGGCTCAATGTGGATGCTGAATTACAAAATAAAATTAGCTCAGCCGCACCTCACTTCCCAGCAGCTCATGCAGATTAAGCTGTTCATTCTTATTTGCGCTAGAAGTCAAACTGGGAAGGTCAGCTATCAGCTAGGATTTCAGGATACTCCTCCCAGAACTGGTCCCCAATGATGTCACAGTGCAGTGGGACAGTTCTAGTCCTGGTTCGTGTCACTTCAACTTCCTTCTCTTCAGTTTCCTTTGGCAGTTTTATTCTCTTGGTAGTGACCTCATTAACCTGCAAATATAACGAACACATGAGTATATTTATAAAAGGATTTTGAAGATTTCATAGATTGTTGGTTTTGTCTTGTTTACATATTAACAATAAGACCCACTTCTGCTTTTGTCCCTTCTGCTTCATTACAGGTTTTAGTTTTGTATCACAACCTGCAAATCTAGACATATGGGGTCACCCATGTACCAAAAATAAGTCATAGAAACAGAACAGTAGAAATGGAAGGAATCTCGAGAGGTCATCGAGTCCAGTCCCCTCCCCCCACGGCAGGACCCAGTACCATCTAGACTATCCCTGATAGATGTCTATCTAACCTGCTCTTAAATATCTCCAGAGATGGAGATTCCACAACCTCTCTAAGCAGTTTATTCCATTGTTTAATCACCCTGACAGGAAGTTTTTCCTAATGTCCAGCCTAAACCTCCCTTACTGCAGTTTAAGCCCACGGCTTCTTGTCATATCCTCACTAGCCAGGAAGAACAATTTTTCTCGCTCCTCCTTGTGACACCCTTTTAGATACCTGAAAACAGCCATCATGTCCCCTTTCAGTCTTCCCTTTCTAAACTATACAAACCCAATTCTTTCAGCCTTCCTTCATAGGTAATCTTCTCCAGACCTTTAATCATTCTTGTTGCTCTTCTCTGGACCTTCTCCAATGTCTCCACATCTTTCTTGAAATGTGGTGCCCAGAACTGGACACAATACTCAGCTGAGGCCTAATCAGAGCAGAGTAGAGCGGAAGAATGACTTCTCGTGTCTTGCTTACAACATACATGTTAATGTATCCCAGAATCATGTTTGCTTTTTTTGCAATAGCATCACACTGTTGGCTCATATTTAGCTTGTGGTCCACTATGACCTCCTAGATCCTTTCCTGCAGTGCTCCTCCCTAGACAGTTGCTGCCCATTCTGTATGTGTGAAACTGATTGTTCCTTCCTAAGTGGAGCACTTTGTATTTATCCTTATTAAACTTCATCCTATTTACCTCAGGCCATTTCTCCAATTTGTCCAGATCATTTTGAATCTTGATCCTATCCCCCAAAACAGTTGCAATCCCTCCCAGCTTGGTATCATCTGCAAACTCAATAAGTGTACTCTCTATGCCGATATCTAAATAGTTGATGAAGATATTGAACAAAACTGGTCCCAAAACAGACCCCTGTAGAACTCCACTTGTTATGCCTTTCCAGCAGGATTGTGAACCGTTAATAACTACTCTCTGAGAATGGTTATCCAGCCAGTTATGCACCCACCTTATAGTAGCCCCATCTAAGTTGTATTTGCCTAGTTTATAGATAAGAAGATCATGCGAGACCGTATCGAATGCCTTACTAAAGTCTAGGTATACCACGTTCACCGCTTCTCCCTTATCCACAAGACTTGTTATCTTATCAAAGAAAGCTATCAGATTGGTTTGACATGATTTGTTCTTTACAAATCCATACTGGCTGTTCCCTATCACCTTATTATCTTCCAGGTGTTTGCAGATTAATTCCTTAATTACTTGCTCCATTATCTTTCCTGGCACAGAAGTTAACTGACTGGTCTGTAGTTTCCTGGGTTGTTTATTTCCATTTTTATAGATAGGCACTATATTTGCCCTTTTCCAGTCTTCTGGAATCTCTCCGGTCTTCCATGATTTTTCAAATATGATAGCTAAAGACTCAGATACCTCCTCTATCAGCTCCTTGAGTATTCTAGGATGCATTTTATCTAGGGTTCCCAGACAGTTTCACAAAAAATACCGAACATGGCGGGGAAAAAACTGGGTGAGAAAAAAAACAAACAAACCAGGAACCAAAGTTGTTGAGCAATACCAATACTGGACACCTGGCAACCCTAATTTCATCAGGCCCTGGTGACCTGCACACATCTAACTGTTTTAAGTGATTTTTAACTTGTATGTTTTTATTTTATCTTCTAAACCTACCCCATTCTCACTAACATTCGCTACATCAGGCATTCCTTCATCATCAGACTTCTTGGTGAAGACCGAAACAAAGAAGTCATTAAACACCTCTGCCATTTCAAAATTTCTGGGTACTGTGTCTCCTTCCTCACTGAGCAATGAGCCTACCCTGTCTTTGGTCTTCCTCTTGCTTCTAATATATTTATAGAAAGTCTTCTTGTTACCCTTTATGTCCATAGCTAGTTTGAGCTCGTTTTGTGCCTTTGCCTTTCCAATCTTGTCCCTGCATACCTGTATTGTTCTCTTATATTCATCCTTTGTAACTTGTCCTAGTTTCCACTTTTTATGACTCTTTTTTTATTTTTAGATCATGCAAGATCTCCTGGTTAAGCCAAGGTGGTCTTTTGCCATACTTTCTATCTTTCCTATGCAGCAGAATAGCTTGCTTTTGGACCCTTTATAACGTCCCTTTGAAAAACTTCCAACTCTCCAGTTGTTTTTCCCCTTAGTCTTGATTACCGATGGGATCTTACCTACCAGCTCTCTGAGCTTACCAAAATCTGCCTTCCTGAAATCCATTGTCTCTATTTCAAGTCATATTGAAACAATTTTTTCAACCTAAACTCATGCTATGCAGATTGTCCATTTACAGGGCTTTGATACTGAATGGATCAGCTTAGAAGAGTGCTACTAATTAATGCTATATTGATGATTTTCACTGTAATTGTTTCAGGATGCATTTTTCATTCAGTATCTAAACCTGACATTTTTTTTAGCTTGTCACATGAGTAGTTTCAGCAAGATAAAAAACTCAGATGGCAAGATGTACATGAGCTGTTCACTCTAAACCAATCATTGAGATGACATTCTCTTAAAAAGACAAGCATCCCTAGATGTATATTACACTATATGATAAGGCATTCATTTAAATACACAAATTAAATTATTTTATCAAAGATAAAGTGTTCATGCATGTTAGCTCACTAGATAATAAAAGAAGAGAAAGAATTGGTCGTTATCTCTGGGTCTGAAGAAAACTCCTACAAATACTTGGAAGGAATAGCTCAGTTTGTATGAAAAAGTGTCTATAAAGCCCCCCAAAAGGTCTAATATTATCCAGGAAAGATGTGCAAGAAACAAGGAGACAAATGGAACACTCTCAGATGAATTCAGTTCACTAGGTAAAGTGCCATAAAAATTGCCAGCCACAAAAGAAAATGGAGTTAGTTATTAGTCATTCTTTTTATAAGTAACAACAAATAAGAACAGTGAGCAAATAACTGTGCTGGACTTTCAACCAACATTAGCTAGGCCATTATAAGAAGAAACACACCTACTTCACATCTATGCTAATAGCTTTTAAGACCAGAAGACACTATCTGAGCTGATCCCCTGAATAATTTAGGCCACAGAATTTCAGTCCTGCATCAATCCTATAACCTTGTTGAGCCAGGGAAACTAATGATACTGGACTAGCTCGCAAATGAAGAGATTTGCAAGTTATAGTTAAAGACATTCCCCTGTCAACAATAACTCTGTGTATGCATCATGCAGCAACACCTCATCCAAATAAAGGGAAATGATGATTGAGTTCAATGAGCTCAACAATTCTAATTCATGACAGAAGCATTAAGGTTCCAAGCCTGCACTGAGCTTTACATAAGTCCAAGTATTTTCTTCTGGATCATACTATATCAAACTGGGGGAAATAGTAATTCAAGTTTACCAAGAAATCTATAAAACATATGCATATTCATAGCTGATAATCAGTCTATTTATGGATAAACAGTCATACAGATATTTTGAGTCAGAATTCAGACATGAGTTTTCATAGTATTCAATTAGACACAGATACACCATAACACCTCAAAAGAACTATTACTCATTTTAACACCCATCGTTCACACATCCTTTTCCTTAGAATCTAGAATATATAGACTGTCACAGCCACAAGAAATTGAGATCATGACATTTAACCATAAGAAACATTGCGGGTGGAGGTTTGTGACCTGCACAAAACTTTTTATGATGTATATAGTTGTAGCACCTAGGAGTGCCAGCCATAGACCAGGCTCCCCTGGGGCTAGGTGCTATATGAACAGCAAACAACCCCAAAGAACTTGCAATTTAAGAACAAGACAGGAGACAACAGATGCTTACAGACAGATGGGAGAGTACAAAAACAATGAGACAATATTGGCCAGCATCTAGGCAGTGGTCCCATAACAACAGCCAAATTGTTGTCAATATTTTTGGAGGCACCATAGCAAAGGAGAGTTTTAAGGAGGGAACTGAAGGAGAATGAGGCAGATTTGCAATATTTATGGGGAGCTCCTCCCAAACAGAAGGAAAACACAAAGGTGCCTGTTTGAAAATGTAACACATGGACAATGGAGACTGACATCACAGGCCAACTGGAAGCAGGAGTCCACCTGTCTATATTGAATGAGAGATGGTAAGTAGTGTAGGGGAGTAGGCATGCAAACAAGATGCCTTTACCTTCTGCCATATTAGCACAGTTCCTTTCCTGTACATCAAGGGCTCATTGTTGTAGTTAATGTTGAATTCAGAAAATAAAATCTCATTCTTGTCCCCAGCCAAAGTTCCCTGAAATTGAGAGAAAGAAAACAATACGTGTACCTTAAAACCTACATTTATTTACAACTGTCCTTTCTATAGCTTAGAAACAAGAGGGGCAAATGCTGCATGTAAGTAATTAATAACAGCAACTAGGGATGTAAGCGACTAGTCAACTTATGATGTGACTAATCGCTCTCTCCTCCCTCCCCTCCCCTCCCCCCCGCTGCCTCTATTAGAGAGAGGTAGCAAGGTCGGAGGAAGGGGGGCAGCAAGAGCTGGTGCTGAGGGGAGCCAGTTTAAAAGCCGGTTCTTCACAGCACGGTCTCTGCAGGGGGCAGGGGAGGTAGAGGCACAGTGGGAAATGGTGCGAGCAGGGTCTGAAGTAGTCTCGGCACAACCGCGATTCTACTTTTGAAAGGTACAAGCCCAGTGGGGCTCTTGTACATTTCAAAAGCAGAAGCCTCACAGGGAGAGCTCCCTGCTCTCATGCTCCCTGCGAGACTTCAAAGGCAGAGGCACCCTTATAGACTAATTGAATAGTTAATGGAAATCCCATTGACTATTCTATTAGTTAATTAATCTAAATTTAACATCCCTAACAACAACACCACGTATACAGGAGTTTTTAAATCTTCCAACAACTTTAGTAACTTGTCATCCACACACTATCTCCACAAAGTAAGAAAGCACTATTCCCTATGGCAGAATGGGGACAGCTAAGCAAAGAGGTCTGTGTGTGCTTGATTTTTATATTTGTATACAATGAAAGAAGGGAGCACACCATTCTGTAAAGGCATGGAGAAGGAGAGAAAGTGATGTGCCTAAGACTACATATTGAATCACTGTTAGAGGTGGGATTAGACTTCAGGAATTGCTGTGTCTCAGTCTTACACCCATGCCACATCTCTTTTGAAGTCGGTAACATTTAATATATACATCAAGTATTTGAGCCCATTAATTATGAAAATAAAATGCTGTTTGGATTCTTATTAAAGTAAATTCTTTGCCAGTCAGGTTAAGGTCTTTACAACTCAGTAAAACAGAAATCCAAAACCAACACCATCTCCAGAAAAAAACAAGCATATATTGGGAAGAGATGAACTGGCATACTGTGAACACATAAGCAAGACATGGCAGCATAGGGCTGCATAATTGGAACTACTTGGGAACTGAGTTCCGCATAGGGATGTAAAAAAGATTTTAAAATAGTAACAGCGTCAGTGATTAAAATTTCACTGGTTACACGGTTAAATGCTCCTGACTCTGCTGGTACCCGGCTCTGCCGTTTCCCAGTGTGAAGGAACATCAGCTTATTTCTTAACCAGATGAACTCTTACATCTCTGGTTCTGCATATGTTCCTTTTACTATTAGGAATAAAATCTCTCCTTCTAGTTGATGTTAAAAAGACAATTCTTTAGAAGAAGTTTCTACCTGTAATCTCTCTTGTGCTTGCATTGGTGTCAAGCCACTTCGCTGAACAAGCATCCAAAACACTGTATTATAGAGGTTATTAACGTGGCCTGTAGAAATAGAAAATGGTATCAAAGACATAGATAACTTTTCAGAGAATGCTTTTTCACTCCCACAAATTCCTGCAGCTAGATTTTAAAAATGCCATTAGTATTAATTGTAGTTATGTAAAATCATAATAATCCGATCTCGTGCTTTCTAACATCGTGGATCACAGGAATGGCCAGAAGATGAATTCCTCACAGCTACATAATGCACTTTATTTACCATTTATAAAATGCTGTAAGGCAATGGAGCTCACCTTCCTCTGAAACAAGAGGTGCTGACTAGTAGTTCTCAAACTTTTGTACCAGTCATCCCTTTCACATAGCAAGCCTCTGGCTAGGTCTACACTACAAACATAAATTGGAAAAAGGAACGCAATTTGCAGCACGCAAATTATGTATCTTTTTCCAATTTACTTCTGAAAGAGGCTTTTCTGAAGTTTGACCTGTCTACATTGGGCCACATTTTGGAAAAAACCCTCTTTCAGAACATCCCTTCTTCATCGTAAAATGAGGTTTACAGGGATGCTGAAAAAAATGCAACCGCTTTTCTGAATTTTTTTCAAAAAAGCGGATGCGTTCCTTGGATGCAGCAGAGATTTTTCCGGGATACCAGAGGCATCCCGGAAAAGCTCTGCAATCTAGACATAGCCTCTGAGTGTGACCTCCTCCCATAAAAGACACTTTTAAATATATTTAAACACAATTATAAATACTGGAGGAAAAGTGGGGTTTGGATTGGAGGCTAGCAGCTTGCAGCCCCCCCATGTAATAATCTCATGACCCCGAGTTTGGAACCCCTGGCACAGTCTTGAGATTAGCCTTGCAACAATGACCTGATCTAGCATGGAAAAATCATACACTTGTCATTTGACTACTGTAATTTTCCAACACGATATTGCTGAATCTGAATATTTACACTTCTCAGTTAAAAAAAAAATTCAACTGAGGAGTCTAAAATTTCTGGTATTGAGCTTGTTTTCAGCATTTTAGTGATGATAATCTGATATCAACTATGAATCTCACATTATTAAAGGATGTGCTTGTAAAAACAATACAAATATTAACACATACAATGAGTAACTTCTCAGACAACATGTTGCTCTTTCTGAAAGTACCAGTGGAAGTTACGAGGAATAAAAACACAAATAGGAATCTTTTTGGAAGAGTATTGTAGAATGTAAAATAATCTGCTTTCTAAGAATGTCAACCAACTTTTCTGCATCTTAACAGCTCTAAGGATATGTTATTAAACAAGTAAACTACAGTTCCTCTGCCATGCACCAGCAGCTTTTTCATTACGGAGTGTGCATATGTTCACAGGTAATAGGGGGTTAGAAACTGTTATAAGTTGTCATGCTAAAAATCAACAGTTCTCATTTTCCTGATATCTAAAGATACTTACAATCTGCTTGTCTCCAGCTGAGATAATCCTTTAAATTCTGGTTACTAGGGTATAACACAACTCGTCCATCAAATCCAGGTGGATACAGAAGTGGCTGGTCCTTAAAATAATCCTTCCAGTAGAAAACATAGCTGGAGGCAAACTGGGAGACGACGTGAGTCATGAACTTACTTGCAAACACAAAGCCAACAGAGACAGAAGAGAAACAGAGAATACATGAGACATTAAAACAACTATACCCAAATAATTACAGATAGAAAGGTATCAGTGGTAAGGCTTCTGGTGGACCACAGTGCTTCTAATACAATGGCTCTATGGACCACTATGACAGGTAGCACTTTTTTGAGTGGTTGGTGGAATTAAATTAAGAACTCAACAATAGAGGTTGGAAAAGGAGATAGCTTACTAAAAAAAACTTCTTTTATAGAAGATGGCTTTTATTCCCCTTTTTGCTGTTTGTTTTTCTTTATGTTTCAAAAACATCATACACAGAAACATAACATCAAATACACCTTAGCTAATTACAGGTGACCCCGACTTACGACTCCCCACATTTACGACTGCCCTGCTCCGGCTCAGCCTCTCAAGTCCACCTGCACAGTGAGCCACAGGGTCAGCCAGTTGCCCGCCGCCCTGACTGGCTCTGGGCGCTTCCACCCGGCACAGCCTCAGCCGGCTCTGGGCACTTCCACCCGGCACAGCCCCGGCCGGCTCTGGGCACTTCCACCCGGCACAGCCCCGGCCGGCTCTGGGCACTTCCACCCGGCACAGCCCCAGCCGGCTCTGGGCACTTCCACCCGGCACAGCCCCAGCCGGCTCTGGGAGCAGCTCATGCCTCGCCACTTCACCTGGCACAACTGGGGACTACAACTCCCAGAAGGCAAAGTGGGCCAGGAACGGAACCCCATTTATATCACTGCACCTATGGGAAATAAGGGTTCAACTTACAATGGTTCTCCAGGAACCAATTAGGTGGTAAGTACAGCAGTCGCCTGTACAATTTTAGAGATAGATGTAACTATATGGACACACGAGTGAATTATGTAGTTTCCACCTAAATGTACAGGTAGCATCTGTACATGTGTAAGGGGACAGATAAATAATAGGTGCAAATGTCAGCTCTCAAAGGGTGCATCTACACAGCAGGGCTTATCTCAAAATATGCTACACAAGTTGAGCTATGTCAATTGCGTAGCTTATTTCAAAATAGAGCACTCTTCCTCTGACTTCCCTTACTCCTCATACAATGAGGGTTACAAGAGTCGGAGTAAGAAGTCCTCCAGTTTGACAATATTTCAACATTATTTCGAAATAACTGCCTGCTGTGTAGACACGGACTAAGTTATTTCGAAATAATACTGTTGTATAGATGTACCCAAAAAGAACGGTTAAACATTGGGAAACTAGTAAGCTCAAAAGAAGCAATTACCTTGATCTTCTTTTAAACCAGTTACTTTTCTTTTTAAAAACAAAGCTGTATTCATCACTCTGTCCATAAGCCATGACAATATCCTCCAGCTCTTGCATTACTGTCTGGGCACACTTAGTCATCAGATGGAGAGCACGGTCATCGTTGGGCTTACTGAAGCCATGCTGATCAGCAAAACTTTAAAGAAAAGAGAGGTCCAGAAGGAAATTATCCCAATAAAAACTACTTTAGAAACATCTAAGTATTTGTTTTCATCACATTTATTTCCTCAGAACATTGTTGGCATGGATGGGATGTTTGAAGTCAATGAACTCCCTCTCCCTGTCAAAAGACTATGAGAAAATCTTCCTGCTTCTGAGCCACATACACCAAAATCTCCTGCTCATCAAGATCAGACATTAACTATGTAACTGTCTTCAAATCAGTGTCTCTGTGTTATACAGAATCAATGGAAGGTGAAGGGCTTTTCACTATTATGTCACCTTTTTACTAAAGCACATTCAGACTTTATCTAATGGAGGGGTCACATCAGCAAGTTGAGCACGTCACTGGATTTGTACAAAATAAGAGTCAGTTGTGTATTATCAGCTGAGTGGTGCAGCCTGCGGAGAACATAAGCCTTGGAAAAAAGTGCTTCATCTGACCCTGAGCCGCCTGGGGGAGCAGCCCACAGCCCAACCTTTCCATAAGTCCCCTTATGAAAATGACCATTACTCTCTCCCAAACCCACATGCTACCAAAATAAGTCATTCCATTGCACACATTTCTGTGTTTGGGGACAGAACGAGGAAACAAACAACCCACGACACACATGGAGTCAGGCTGCTTATTACTCTACATCTGTACTACATATGCTAGAGCAGCACTACAACAAGGCAGATTTGCTGCTGCAGCACCATATTGCAGGCTTCCATTGAGCCATCCCTCTAAGGCAGGGCTACTCAACCCATTGCCCACAGCCCATTTGTTTGCAACCCTCATTGTACAGGGAGTAAGGGAAGTCAGAGGAGTGCACTCTCTCAGACTTCCTGCTGTGTAGGCAGTGTCAAAAGCCAAAATAACCTATTTTGATGAAGCAACACAATTGACGTAGCTCAACTTGCATAATTTATTTCTGCTTTAGCCCTACTCTACAGACGTGCCCTAAGACAACAGCTACATAGGTAAAAGAATCCTTCTGCCAACTTTGCCGCATCTGCACTGGCGACCAGGTCAACCAGTGCTTAGGGCATGAAATTGTCACAGTCCTGAACAACGTAGCTAAGCTGAGCTAAGGTTTAGCAGTAGACCAGGCCTCAGACCCGATGGTAATGAGCACAGTACAAACACCTGTCCAGGAAAAAAAAACCCATCTGTCCAACCCAGGGAATAAATGTTCCCATCATGGCAGTCCCACTCCCTCCTCCCTTGCACCCAGGCAACTGTCATGGCATTTCCTCACCTCCTGCAGCGGCTCCCAGCTGCCCTGAGGCCTATGATGGGGACACAGATGCTCTAGCACACAGGGATGTTCAATAAGGAGACGCGTGGGCAAAACCTGGCCGGTTTAAATCTTCCTGTTTGCATCTAGTCCACCTTGCTCTTCTTCTTGTTTTTCCCCCCAGCATCTGCACCCAGGCAACTGTCATGGCATTTCCTCACCTCCTGCAGCGGCTCCCAGCTGCCCTGAGGCCTATGATGGGGACACAGATGCTCTAGCACACAGGGATGTTCAATAAGGAGACGCGTGGGCAAAACCTGGCCGGTTTAAATCTTCCTGTTTGCATCTAGTCCACCTTGCTCTTCTTCTTGTTTTTCCCCCCAGCATCTGGGCCTTGCCCCACAGCTGCCCCGTCCATAGAGCCCGAAGCAAGGGGCGCACCGTGAGGGGGGGCAGGGGGCGAGGGGTCCCCGAGAGGGAGGGAGAAGGGGGACGGGGAGCCCTGAGGTCCCCGCACGCGCCCCCTAACCAGCCAGGGAGGGAGGCCGCTCCCGCTGAGGAGAGCAGCCCCCTGCCTGCGCGGGGGCGGGGCCCCCCGTCCGG